CCCCCCAACAGCTCCCACCTCAGGGCTCCAGCCCCACTGCAGAGCCCCTCCAAATGAGCAGCCCCCACCTCAGCGCCCCTGCCCCCCAGCCCTAGTGCAGAGCCCTCCAAGTGAGCAGCCCCCACCTCAGCATCCCTCCATCCCCCAGCCCCAGTGAGCTCCCTGCAGTTTCCCCAGTGCACAGTCCCTGAATATTCTCCCCAATGCAGGTTCCACCTATTATCCCCTGAGCAGATTCCTTCATATTTTCTCTTGTGCAGAGTCCACCCCAGTGTAGAGCCCCATCCTGATGCAGAGCTCTCCCATTGCCCCCTCCCCCACACCCAGACTGGAGCAGGGGGGCTGTGAGGGAGTAAGGAGTGATTGGGAGCTGTCCCTTACATTTCCTTTTCTCCACCCCCTTTGTGGGAATAGTACCTAAGCATTGTTGCTTTTCCTACTGTTGCCCTGCCAGTATCAAATTGTCCCTTTCCTTGCCAATGCCAATTCCTCTGACTGGTGGAGAGCATTACTATTAGGATAGGGGTGATGGAGGAAGGGGAGCTGCTCTCCCTAGCAAAGATAGTAATATGGTGGCACTGCATAGTGGGGATTTTACTTTTTTTTAAGTTGTCTCCCCTAGACAAGGTGGTTGTGTAGGCAGCAGATACAATATCTGACTAGGTTTTGCCCTTGTTTATACTGTCACTCACTCATGCTGTCTGTCTCTAGACCCCCACCTTCTTTACCCAACAATATTACCCCTTCACATTCTTTATACTCCCCTCTTGGGGAGATGTCCATACAGATTTCAAAGGATAAAAGTGGACATATACTGTGCTATAATTTATCCAAGTTGTGCAGTGATTGACAGTGATATCTGAGTACATAACAAGCTTTCCTGTGGCATTGGTGAAACATCTCCACTGTCTGATTAGTCATAAGTGAACTTATAAATTACATTACTCATAACTAAATTTTTAAATGTAAGCTTGCAAGATGCTGTCAATATGCTGGAATTTCTGGGGGAGGGGGTCCAGTTTGCTTTTTTAAAAATATCAAAAATCACATACACAAAACTACACTAAAAGAACATTAAAGGTCCTGCTTTGGGCAGGGGGCTGGACTCGATGACCTCCTAGGTCTCTTCCAGCCCTATGATTCTATGAAAGTTACAAAGAAAAGCACTCAAATTTAGGCTATGCAATCCTAATTCACTTCCCTTGTGTATATGCATTATAATACAATCTTTATATGATCACTACTATATTTTTTCCACAGTGTCTGCGTCATTCAAGTTTTTTGTATGTAAAAATGGAGATTGGTCAGTATTTCTCTTTATTTTTGGTTGATTTCACTTTCAGGTTCTCAAAGCTAATAATGAGCTACTTGAGTGATAAATACTGCAAGGAAAATTTTAAGTGCAAACAGAAATGATGTTTTAAATAAAAAATATGAGAACATTTTTGTTAATACATAACTACTATTTATACTTTAAGAGAAATTAAGCTTTACGTCCCAGAGAATTCAGTCAAACATGTCTCTGCCAAGATGGTAGGGTAGAATCTGAAGCCATTTGAGAAACATTAACTTCTGTATAAAGATTTCCTTTACCTTAATCTCCCTGTACTTTGCCAAAAATTTCTCTGTTGGCAGCAAAACCTGATTTGTTACGCTTGGATTTGTCATCCGTCTGATCACATGTAAGCACTGAGCTGGCATTCGTGTTAGGTGCTCACTAGTCAGTGCTTTAGTATTCCATTCACAAGTCTGAGGCGGATTGAGCCTTTAGGAAGAGAGAGAGGTCAAAGTGTTAAGGGAGCACTAATTCTGATGAAACAAAAACTATAAATAAATAATTCCACTTTAGTTTCTTGCAATAACACTAAGGATTTGCACCAACGCAGCTTCCTGATATCCTATTAGAATAATATCACAGATAGCAAGAGGTCAGAAATCGTCTTCGGCATCAACGCTTTTTCCCTCTGTGGAGATATCATTCAGATGGTAATCACTAAAAGCAGATGAGATATACATACTAGACATTCTATGTTCCTTCTGATCTGGTCTGGATGGGGAGAGAGGCATAGAGAGTGTACTTGTGAGGAAGAAATGAACATATCTCTTCCTGGAATATGCAGGGAGTCATATTGTATTTTATTTTACCAAATGTATTTGAGAAAACAGCTGGATCCACAAAAAGATGGATGGAATTGTTACTCATCCCCATACACTTTTCATTTTTCTTGTGGTCTGTTGTGCCTTTTTCCACAGGATGAAGGCATCAGATATCCTGCAAAAATATGGATCCTTTGAAGGAGTGGAACAGGAGACTGAAGAGTCGGATGAGAAGGATGTAACTGAACTAGACTTCTTACCAAGAGAACTAGAAAGTGAAGATAGTGCCGTGGACACCATAGACCTGGATAGAGTGGGGTATGAAGAGAAAAAAAGAATTCAAGATCCAAACATATCCATGAAAAAGAAAAGAAAGAGAAAGAGGTTAGAAATAACTACTGAAAGGGCTTTAAAAGTCCTGAAGAAGGCATATTATGTTAGTAGGAGAGCTTCTGAAAACACAGGAGGGTAATGGGGGAGAAAATGTTGGGGGACCGGGTGTTCTGACTGGTGCTGTGCAGAAGGGGATGAACACAGGATTTTTTTGGTGAGAGAGGAATAGGTAAGTTGTGAAAGGGTGTGTCTACACTGCAGGGCTTAACTTGAAATAAGGTATGCAAATTGAGCTACATCAATTGTGTAGCTTATTTTGAAATAGGGAGCATGTACACAGCACTTATTTCAAAATAGAGCACTCTTCCTCTGACTTCCCTTACTCCTCATACAATGAGGGTTACAGGAGTCAGAGTAAAAAGTCCTTTGGCTTGACAGTATTTTCACACTATTTCGAAATAACTGCCTGCTGTGTAGACTCAGACTAAGTTATTTCAAAATAGGGTTGCAATGTCGATTTACCCTTAGGGTGTGTCTAAACTACATGCCTTCGTCGACAGAGGCATGTAGATTAGACAGATCGGCAAAGGAAAATGAAGCCACGATTTAAATAATCGCGGCTTCATTTAAATTTACATGGCTGCCGCGCTGAGCCGACAAACAGCTGATCAGCTGTTTGTCGGCTCAGCGCGCTAGTCTGGACGCTCCCGCGCCGACCTGAAAGCCCTTTATCGACCTCCCCGGTAAACCTCATCCTACGAGGCATAATGGGGAGGTCGATAAAGGGCTTTCAGGTCGGCGCGGGAGCGTCCAGACTAGCGCGCTGAGCCGACAAACAGCTGATCAGCTGTTTGTCGGCTCAGGGTGGCAGCCATGTAAATTTAAATGAAGCCGCGATTATTTAAATCGTGGCTTCATTTCCCTTTTTCGAATAAACTAATCTACATGCCTCCATCAACGGAAGCATGTAGTTTAGACGTACCCTTAGAGTGGAAGGTAGATGAAATTGTTCTGGTGTTATGAAAAAGTGATGATTTTTAAGTTTCATAGGTTGTCAGCTACTGAAGTAGGTACTGCTTTTCTTGAATGTCTAGAAAGAACTTAACATGTAATTGTTACTACCATAATAGTAGTTGCAGTATAGCCCAGCAGAAGAAGAATCTTTACAGACTCTGAGCATAAATATTTTTGTCGATCCCCATTTATGCTTTATCACTTGGCTTTTGGATCATGACTCTGGGGAAGCTCATTAATAGACTGGTTATTTAGGAATCAGTCTTATTGAGTAACTGCCATATCTTTTTCTCCCACTGTAACCAAAAGATAGGCACCGTATAGTACCAGATTGGAACTGAAAGCAGTAGCCAGGCCATATATTGCCCAGAGCATCCAGAAAGAGCGCTCTTCCTATAACATAGTAACTTTGGTTTCATCACTATATTCTTCCAGTATTCTGGTATTCTAGAATTTTTAATTGCGGGTATTTCTGCAGTGCCCATTGCTGTATTCTCTTTCTATATTATGTAAAATGTGCTCGCTCTTTCCTAATAAACTGTGTTGTTAAACTATAGTAATTTCTTGTTGAAAATTATCATTAGATTTCTGATGTAGCCTGACTACTGTAGCTGGTTACCCATACCATAGTAGACTTGATTAAGATTACTCTGTCCCCTTTTTATCCTTTCCCAGTGGGACTGCAATATCAGAGGTAAAATTAGGCTTTGTCTACACTGCCAATTGAGTGACAAAACTTTTGTCGGTGCTTTGTTTTGCCATGACAAATGGCAGTGTAAACAGTGTACTCTTGCCAGAAGGAGCACTTTCCTGTCAATAGCGCAAACCCCACTCACAGAGGATGGAAGTATTTTGTCACCGAAAGTATTGACAAACAGCATTTGCACTACCCGACTTTTAGTGACATGGCCATGTTGCTAAAAGTTGTATAGCTGTGTAGACAAAATCTTAGCATTATTAGCCTCTCCCTCTTCCTCTTACCATCTCTCCATCATCTCTTTCTTATTTAATTTGCATACTGTTGTCCTGTTGGTTAGAAGGCCTTCACATTCTTATTATTAACAATCAGTTAAAACTTTGTAAGTATATGAAATGCTTACAGAAAATTGTGATTCCAGTGAACCCCACCATTTTGTGTGCTGTCTCTTCATTGTAGGAGTATTCAGAGGGAGATTGCTGATCACTTATTTTGTTATGGGGAAATGGGGTTTAAGATTTGTTTTGTTTGTTTAGTTCAGAGTCGTTACTAGCTAATTTGGCACCTGAGGCAAGTCTGTCCTCGGCGCAAGCGGGGGTGCTGATGTGGCACGAGGCATGAGCAAAGACAGTGTAGTAGCTGTCTTTTCTGTTCCCCCTCAGCTATGCGCCTGAGACAAGTGCCTCACTCACCTCGCTCTTGTTATGGCACTGGTTTAGTTTTCTGGTTATTGTAGGATTAGTTTCAGCGTTTCTTTTGTATTGACTTTTGTTTGCCCTCTTGGCTGGCACAATCAGGCCAGAGGGACAATGACCACAGTTCGTTGCAGATTCTGAGGGCTTAACCTGGGGACATGGCTTGTGGACTTTGCCTCCAGAGTCTATCTCTGTGGAGGAGTGTGTTCTAGCCATGGGAAGAGAGATTAGGTGTAGTATGCCTCCCACATGAGCAAGGCTGTTGTCATGTTTGTTGCCATATTTATCTTGTTGATCAGGTGGTTGCAGAGAAGATTGTTTTGCAGAGTGTTTTTGTCTTTAGTGTTCCCTCTGCTCTAAGCTGTGAAGCCCTGCTCAGCCAAGGTGAGCCCCTCCCAGATGGTAGGGAGGGGACATTTCCTTACTGGCTGGGAGAGACTCGCTGCTTTATCCTCAGCAGGTAGCTGCTGCTGTCACTGAGGGAGAAGTGCCTCTCCCCTGACCAGGCAGCTCCGTGCATGAGTCCTGAGCCCTGGGTAGTCTTCATTAAGCAGTTGTGGGGCTGTGCTGCTGCGCAGCTTAGAGGAAACTCTATTGCTGGATTGGTCCCTCTTGACACCGGCTTCTTAAGTCACTCTTTCTAATGTGCCTACATTTTCAGGAAATAAGCGGCTGGCCAGAGACCTGCTGAATTACAGTGAGAATGCTAGTCTTATTAAAAGGATTTCTTTGGGCTAGAAAGCCCCAGAGGTTCACTGTCTCCAGTCCTTTCATAGGCAGAGCTGGGCAGGTGATGAAACAGTAGGTGGAACAGAGCCATAGGTGGGGCTGGAGCTGGGTTGGAACCAGAGCAGAGCTGTGGCTGTGGGAAGAGAGGAGCTGTAGATGGGATTGGAATTGGCCTAAATGGCACTCCCTTTCCACCCTTATATGGGGGCTGGCTGAAGCCCTGCCACACATACCCCTACAGTTCCTCCATGACCCCCTATGGGAGCACGTCCCACAATTTGGGGACCATTGGACTATACTATGTTTGTGCCTTGGCCACTGAAGACATAGCCTGCTTTCATTGTGGGACACATCTAGTCAATCAGTGCCCTAAGAACAGGAAGGTTACCCCTGATATGGTGATTCCATTCTTACGTATGTGCAAATTTCTGTGAGTAAAGCACAGGGTGGAGAGATTGAGCTGTGACAGAGACTAGGTCCTAATGGATCCTCACAGAATCATAGAACACTAGAACTGGAAGGGACTTCGAGAGGTCATCGAGTCCAGTCCTGTGCCCTCACGGCAGGGCCAAGCACCGTCTAGATCAGGGGTGGACAAAAGGGCCTCCGCCAGAGATGGCTTTAGTGGTCCTGTGGCCCTTGACTCAGGATTAAAAGGCCTGTGGCACAGCTGTAGCAGGCTTTGGTCAGCTCACTTGGGCTTGTGAGGCTCGGCTGCTGAACTAAAAGTTGTAGATATTCAAACTCAGGCTGCAGCCTAGCCATTGGGATCTTCCTTCCTCATGGGGCCCCACAGCTTGGACTCCAGCCTGAGCACACACATCTACACAGAAGTTTTACAACCCCACAAGCCAAGTCAGCTGACTTGGGCCAGCTTCTGGCATTTAATCGGTGCATAAACTCATCTTCAGTGGCACCTCATCCTGAGCCTAGCTCTGAAATGGAAGCTGAGCTTGCTGCTATGGATTCTGTGGCTTTCACTGTGGATCCTGGCCTGCATGCAAAGCTCCAGAGTGAAAAAAGTCTGTTGGAAGCATAGGGGCTATGCTGGTTTCTGAGGTGCTATGAAGAGGGTTAGTTTAGTCCATGCAACCAGGGAGCATACTGTTGAGTGAGGGTGCTGCTGAAGGTCATTCTTTGGTTGGAAGCATGGGGAATTCTCAGGTCTCGTCCCGGCAAACCACCTTCTCCAGTTTGTATAATGATATGTGCCAGAGACCCTGTAACCAGGTGTAACTCAGAGGCACTGAGACCACTGACAAGGGAGAGTAAATTCTGCTCTAAAGCCTGAGCTGAGAGCTGGCTGGCTTCTAAGTCATGTGGTAGAGGCATATGCCGATGACCCGGGTCTGTCAGCTTTACACAGAGAATAACAGTCACACTATGTCTCTAGTATAATTGTCTTCAGAGACATCTACTTAATTATTTCCATCAAATAATTTTTTAAGTGACCACTGAGCCAAAAAAAAAGAAAAAAAAGAGAGAGAGAGAATAGCCTATTGGATGAACATTTAGATAGTGCTGTACATAAATTTGTGGAAGTACACCTGTATAGTTCCCAGGACTTCCCCATAAAGCATAAACTGTTCTTTGTCTGTCTGCCTCTGTCTCTGCTTTTTTTTGGTTTTTTTCCAGATGATCTGTGATATGTTTGACCAGCTGCAAGTATGAGAGTGGTGAGTACCTTTTTCATCTTTCCCAAATGCAGGAGATAAAGAATGGTGACCTAGTCAATTCATGTAAAGAGGGGTGCATTTTCATTTGCTCTGAAGAAAAAGAGCTCAATTTAAAATGAAATTTATTTTGTCATGTGAATTGTTAACTGAATATTAGTACTTATGAACATGAGCAAATAAAAGCATCATTTAGAAATATCATGCAGTCTGGGCAAGGATTGTGCGAGATTTTCCTCCTGGTGAAACTCAT